TTCATAAAAAAAGAGACAATAGTAATAAAAAATCCAATACTTGGAGTATGTATTATACTATCTTATATGAGATTAATCAGTGGACCTTTCGGTTTCATGTCAATTATCTGTAATTTAATTATCTGGAAACCCAGATTGGTCTGGTAAGTAGTAGGCCTAACAATTACGTTTATACTCTCGGTGATTCTTTCTCTTTGGATGATCATACTAAATTAGGTGACGCATTTTTCCAGAGGACTAATAATTAAATGAAAGAAGACTATAATCGAAACGATTTTGTTGGAAGATAAAACGAACACAAAAATTAGAATTATTATTACAGGTATTAACATCGTTATCATTGTTGTTACTGTACAATGTTTATTCACTTTTGTTGACAATCATTCCTCTATGCAACTTGTATATCCATTATCTAGGACTAAATTCCTCCATTGTTACTTGAAAATACAACCTTGCTGACCAATTATAGCTACATTATATCATCTGGTCTCAACACTTACTATGCGTGTATTATCCGGTTTGAGATTATCTTCTCAACAAAAGGCTCAAAATCGGAAATAGCCATCGAACTGAGCTACACATAAAGCTCACTGGTCAGGCGGCTCCCAGATTCTTACGCAACCGCATCTTTACCAGACATCTATGTAGGTTAATCGTTGCACCTGCACAGAAAGTGTACTTCCATTGGCACACTTTAGACGTATTGAGACAAGTTACCAAACTAAAGAAACACTTTATTATTGTAAAAATAAAATAAAATAAATTATTTTAAAAATAATTTTCTGGCCTAATATTAATGATTGTGTTGGTGATAATGTGGTAATCTGTGGTTGATGATGACGATGGTAATGGTAACTGCAATTGTAAACTCGCATCTCAAAAAACGATTTTTTTTTTTCCAATAAGAAAAACATTCAAAGCAAAGCAACGTGAATAACGGTTGGTCGACGAAGACCCAATGCCGTAGCCAGCTATTGGGACAGTTGCGTCAGTCAAACACACTTTTTCTAATGGCCGTGTCCAAAAAGCCACATTTTAAAAAATGGGTGCAAAATAAATAATTTTATGCATAAGATGGGTCCGCTTTTTGAAAAATTGTTCCAGATTTTTCATATTTTTGTGTAAAATGGATCCACATTGTTTGAATTTACGCGTAAAATGGGTCCACCCTGATATTGTCCCGTACTGTGAAAACCCTGGCTACGGCATTGCGTAGACCTACTTGTAATGTGAAAATAGCTTTGATCTTGCACACAAACAGAACACTTTAGAATATGTATTAGCTATCATCCATAGTTTTATCACTGTCAGCCTTTATTCTAGACGGAACTATGTACCAAAAAAAATAAGCGTCAGATACTGATAGTGATGTGCTGTTGAATTACTGATGGAAATTTTCTAAAAGTGTTATGGTGTCATATATTCAGTTTCTTTTCTCATGTGTCAACAGCTTTTGTTAATTATGATGGTGGTGGTTAGGAGAATGGTGATGATGATGGTTGGTAATATTAATGATTATAATGAGGTGATGGTTATGGTAATGATGTTGGTTGTGTGATGATGGTGATGTTTAAAGTAACGACAATGATGATGATGTTAATGGTGATGGTTTTGGTAATTGATGGTGATGGGTATAGTGATGATAATAATAACGGTAATGATAATGGTAGTATTAAATTAATCACAAGATGAGAGTTTTTCCAAGAAAGAAAAAACATTTTATTTTAAACAATAGGTTATGTTGATGACAAATTAATTCGTAGCCACTGAAGGAGTTCAATCTTGTAGATAACAGTAATATAATTGCATTGAACTGTTGTTCCTGTTTGTTAATTGTTGATGAGGATGTTGTTCTGTGAAAGGTTCAATTAAAATTAATTTAACAGAGGAATTGTAATAAAAACGTTGGCATCATATCAATAAACATTGAACTTAATTGTTATAATGGTAATGCGCAAATGGTTAAAGCTGGGAAAAACCCTAAAAACCTAACAAAACATTGAATTGCTTATTTATAAGGATCAAATAAGTTATTAATTTACAATAAAACACAAGTTTTTCCGCTTATTTTATACTCTAAGAGGGTTCATTAAGCCGGGCACACACGCAGTGTTATTTTGTATTCGATATAGGCCTACACGACGTCTTCTCTCCCGATTAAGTGTCATAAATGATATATAAAACATGACTTTACATGCGGTATTACCGTGGACCTCTCACCATTCAATACAGTACGGTACAGTATTTATAAATGAGGATCCGCATACAGAAACCACATACTAACTCTGTAGTCATGACTGATTTTCTTTCGTGGACGTTTAAAGATATTGTGCGAAAGGTTTTATGTATTTTAATTAAAACAAAGGCCTATTTCATTATGTAGTTCTATTTATATCATAAAATGTGATAATACAATTTTTAGCCCCATCGTGAAATGAAAAACACAAATACATATAAATATTTATTGTTATTATTAAGATCCATCGGGCGAAGCTGATCACTAAACCTCAATATTCTATAATGACCAAGCGTCTTTGTGAGGCTTAACAAATGGAGTTGATCATTTCGAAATCTTCAATGCTCTTAACCAAGTCCCATTACTGTACAGTACATGTCTTGGGAAGTGTAGTTGGTTTTGTTTGTAAGAAATCGACTTAGCATGTGTTGCCATGATTGAACACGCCTTGGGATTGGGAAGCAAGCACCTTAACCACCAAACCATAGCTCCATTCCTTTGTAATGACGTAACTGTTATCAAATAAGGACGCATAAAAAATATTTATCCCATTAGAGTTATCAAATAATCTACTTATTGCATAGTATGCAATTTGAGGATATAACATGTACTATGGGAAAATACACAGAAATACACCACCTTGGCCCATAGCTCAGTTGGTTTAGCAACCAAAGGCCCGAACTATAATAAGAAAGTCTTCGGTTCGAATCCCGATGGGACAATTTGTTTTTCTCAAACCATTATACAAAATTGTATTTTGCTTCTTAGTTAGGTTTTTATATTTTGGTTAATGTTTAGCTTAAGTTGATGTTTTCCTCTTCTTTCATTCATTAACTGTGTGCTGCCACTGATTTGATGTAGAAGTGGAATTTCAAATACATTATTATGCAAATCAAATAAAGTACACAATTAATTCTTATCTAAAATGTATTTATTTTCAATCTTCTGTTTGTTTTTCATTCACTTTTTACACGATGTATATAACATGATACAATCTGTCAGTCATGTTAATCATCTACACCTGTACATTTAACAAATAGGCCTATTTATAATTTCATTAAAACGAATAACTGAACATGAAAAATAATAAGTGCTAGGCCTATAATAGAAACAATAAAGCTATAACATCGATTAACATTTTTGTTTATATTCAGGCTGACAGCCATAAAATGCATAGTAAATAGTTCATATGAAAGATTATATAGTTAAGACAAACAGACAGTGATTCAACCATAGTAATAAAATATGCCTATTGGATGAACCATGAGATATCTATAATCATTTATTGTCTTATCATCAATAGTCTAGTCTACTAAGCAGTTTTTAATATTTATGAGATCTTATATATTGGATGAGCGCATTTTATTTCTGCCTCTCCAGATAACATTTCGTACAATTCCACATGTTCACCTTGAAAACATCAACGACAGAACAAATGTTAGCCTAATTGTTCGATATTACTGGTGACCGGGTCACCCGAATAAAAAAAAAACGTGGACATTTTGATATCAGTACGTATAAATTGAGTTACCAAACTACTAAATATCACAATAACATAAAAACAACATTTAGTTGCACAGACTAGATGGAATTGTCTACTGAACCTAATGGTTGATTATAAACGCATTACCAATATGATGTTGTCAGTTATTAAGCCTAAACGCTCATCAGTTACTATTGAACTAGGCGATTAGGCGTAACGTTTGTAATGTATCCATAAAGTAACTCATGCCGTGTAATCATAGAAGATATACACTCTTAGAAAATGCTAATATTCAAATAAAAAAATGGTCATGGAGCTATAATAGTAAATTATAATGTATTATATCTCCATGATATAATACAGCATTCTCAAATTCTAAATTATTCAAATAATTTATGAATCATTCTTAAGCATAGTATTCATATCTGAGTAATTCAAATACATAATTAATTTTTATTATGAATAATCTATGTTATATCATTAGTTTTTATGTGCTCCGGCTCAGGGTCCAGCCCTCTTTGAATTATTTCCTTAACATAAATAATCAATAAATTACTATAAACTTTATAGTGCAAAGATGCAATTAAAGACACAACGAGATACACATACAGGATGAGAAAACAATAAAAAAAAATTGTCATCATTATATCATTCAATTATTGATTTATAGATCAATCAGGATGAGAAAACAATAAAAAAAAATTGTCATCATTATATCATTCAATTATTGATTTATAGATCAATCAATAATCAATAACAAATGAAATCTAATAAAGGAATATCAATCAATGATTAATTGATATTAAAAATCAATTCAATCCAGGACCAATCAGTAAACAATCAATCAATAATAATCAATTAATTATCAATAGTATATTTTCAGATTGTAAGAAAAATAATAAATTAATCAATCAACGATAACCAATTAATGATTAATAAATAACAACCAATCAATAATCTATAAATAATAACCATTCAATGATCAATCAATAAAATAAATAAATAACAGAAATCAATAATCAATCAATAGAAAGTCGTTCTTTATTGGTTAATCAATTGTAACCAATCCATCAATAATAGCCAAGCAATAAACAATAAATCCAATAATAACCATTCAGTGATCAATCAATAAAAACAAATCAATAACAAAAATAAATTATCAAATAATCAATCAATAATCGTTCTTTATTGGTCAATCAATAGTAACTAATTAATAATTCATCAATAATCTCTACAAAGAGAACACATTTATACATTTTGGGTTTTTGTTTCTGTATCATCTCTTTGAACAGATCTACACATAATTTTAGAGAGAACTGAATCAATCAATTAATTAATTATTAATTAACATACGTATATTAGGGGTAATGGACTAGTTCTTGATCTGAAATCCATCTGTTTTCTGTAGTGTTCGTCTAGTAAACCCGCTTGACGATTTTTTTTCAAGTTCGCAACAGATTCACAAGATTGTGAACATGTTATTTTCCTATGGTCCAATCTTGGATTTGTCGCTCACATTCAGTCACTTTGGTTTGAAATTTGCGTAATCTAAACAGCGTTTTTACCAAAGAATGAACATAGAAGATAATATAAGTGTGAATAAAAGTGCCGGTAATTGAGAATGTACACTGGCTCCGGTATTTGGATCAACATCATTTGTTGAATTATACTTATATACAGATCCATCCGCGTTGTATATAGTTCCGTTCTCGGAATACTGTTCTGTCCGACACGCAAAAAAGTCAACTCCAAATATACGAGGAAATCCATTATCGACTGCTTCCCGTTTATTATTGTATCTGTAGTATTGCCTCCCTTTGATGAAGTAGGTGTAACCTGAGTGAAAGAAACATAGGCCTATGTAAACATTCTCATCATAATGTGATTCCAGTTGCGGCGCTAGCGGGGGGAGGGACAAAAAAAATAAAAGGAAAAACCACAATTCGTCGGAAAGAAAAAATGATATATATTTTCTACATATTAGTAGACTATTTATCTATAAAATCGATTAAATAGGCCCAGAAACCCCTAAATTATGATATTTTTCAGAGGCTTCACCCCCTGGACTACTCAAGAAAGTTTGAGCGATGTCTGATGACGCCCACTCCGGGCCACCCCAGCATATTGTAACCCTTAAAATTTTACCTTGCCCCACCCCCCAGATTTCAGACGCTGGCGCCGCCATTGGTTACTAGGCCTATTAGAATCGTCACTACATCAATAATTGCAGACACATATAATTATTATCAAAGGCAATTCTCAACGTCAATAAAGAAAATTATCGAGCAGCGTCATCATTACAGTCGTTATCCTTGTTATCACCATCATCATCATCATCATCATCATCATCATCATCATCATCATCAAAATGAACGACATTATTAAAATTTATCATTGTCAAATTATCATCTTTATAATAATAATAATAATAATAATAATAATAACAATAATAGTAATTTTAGGCATATTACTGTATTGATAATAATTGTTATTGTCGTGATTTATTAGACAATAACTGGATTTGCGTCAGGAGAATCATGTATAGGTGTAATTTTGCGATTTTTTTCGCAGTTGTTTTTAAACGTACTGATTATTCAGTACATTTCTACGTCAGGTAGGGCAAAATTACACCTATATATTACTGTATTATTATTAATATAGTTGGTTATATTCAAATTATTCTTATTAGAACAGAACATGACCTACCATCATTATATTGGAAAGCAGCATCAATATGATCGGGTACTCCTCTAAATACTTCTTTAATTGGTGCAGGAAAACCTGCATCCACCTTCTTCTCGACTTCATCAAATCGCCACACTTGAGTGCCCTTAAAGAAATACGTCTTTCCATAGTAGCCCCATGAAACAGCGGCGTCGATGTGAAGTGGCAACTTTAAGCTAGATAGCTTATTAGGTCCTGAATGTTTGGTTAGGCCATAATACTCCCAGTATTTTCCGCCTTTAAGAAATATTATCATACTATCGTGGTATCTTTCGTAGACGGCATCTACGCGTTTGGGGAGGGAACGCCAGAACTGTCTGCTAATATCACCTTCGTCACTTGAAATTAATTCATTTGGCCTGCGCAGACGCCAATATTTCGTGTCCTAAATTTATAAAATACAGATTTATACATTAACAATCTTTTAATGGAATGATAAAAAACAAATGTATAATCTTAGATATAACGCCAACCAACATTCACAAACATTTACCAATTTTCAAAGACACAAGTTGTAAGAAAAGTATTCTTCAATAACAAACTTATTACACGAACATCCTTAAATTTGCTGACGAAACTTTACCGGTATATTCT